ATATATATATATATATATATATATATGTGTGTATATATGTTAAAAGTTATATTATGTATATATCTATATATAACTTGGCGCAGCTATGCGTTATATCCCTAACCGCACGACACACACATATTCAATAAAAAGGATGAAAAGAGAAAGGAGGAATCGGGGGGGTTAAAAAGGATGCAATAAAGAATAAAACAACAAGTAAATAAATATATATGCAGGCAAACAAAAAAGAAACAAAAAAAAACAAAAAAAGAAACAAAGAAACAAAGCCTGAAACACACAGAGGCAGGTCCTGTCTGTTGTGTGCATCTACCTCTCCTTTCTTTAATCTATCGATGAAGGGAGAAAACGAAAAAAACGAGAAAACAAATAAAACAAATGGAAAAATAAATTAAATAAAGAATAAAAAGTAAAATAAAAGAGAAACCAAAAGAAACAAAAGAAGAAAGCAATGAAAGAATGAAGGAAGCAGGCGCCGATGGTAGTCCACTGCCTCGAGGCGAAATTCACGAAATACGGATTTAAAAAACCGTAAATTAAAACTGTTTTGAAATTAAAATTAAAGTTTTCAGTATAATTAAATAAATAATTTAATTAAATAAACAAAAAAGTGAAAAAAAAAAGAAAAAAAAACCAGCCACTGTGCAGGCCAGCAGCTGCTGTATCCACTGCACTCCGTTCCTCTTCTTTGTGTTGACTCTGGTGTACACCGATCTACGCAGCAGCAGCATATGAAGGTTAATTAATTAAATTTTAGGTGTATAAACAGCTGTAATTTATTAATATTTGTGTTTTTAATTATTTTCTTTTTCTTTTTCTCCACTTCTTTTTCATAAGCTAGCCAGAGTCGATCCCTAGCGGACCGCTGCGGCCCCGAGCTGGCATCGACCTGCTGCTATCGAGACACTCGGTGGCTGTGTTTCTTTGTTCTGCTTTTGTTGTATGTTATGTTTAATAATGAAGTAATTAATACATTAAGCAGGGAAAACAAATAAAAACAACAATTAAAACTTGAAAGCAGCAGCAGCTCTCCCCTTTATATTGGTCTCGCCGCTCTCCGCTGAGGCCACGCAACGACCCAGGGCATATCTGTTTTTCTCTGTTTGTAGGGTTTATTGTTTCTGTTTGTTTTCGTTTCCTTTTTAAATGTTTCCTGCTGCATTTCACTCTTTAGTTCAATGGTAATTTGACTCGGGCTTCGCTTTCCTTGCCTCCTGCCTGTACACTGCAGCGTGCAGCCTGATGACCCTCTCACGGCGTCCTTCGACTAGGGGGGGACGGCGATCACTGTTGGGTCTTTCTGGTCGTTTCTTTTGCCTCTTTTCTGTGTTTCTTTACATCTCTTTTCTTCTCTTCTCGGGCTCCTTCATCTGCGCCGACGCGCGTGCAGCCCATAGCATCAGCGATGGATACACTGGAGGGGGGTTCCATCGAGGAGGAGGCCCTGGGGCCTCTCCTCGTCGTCTGCTAGTTGGCTGGACGCTTCGAAAGTTTTTTTTCGTGAAGACGCCGGAGACGTTGCTTGCAGAGAGAGCTCGATCGCTGCGGGCAATGGCCCCTGGCTGTGACTATGGTCTGCAGTTTCTGTACAGTGTGGTATTGGTTGCAGGAAAGCACACAGCAGCTCGATCAGCTCTGATAGATACAAGCATGGAGGATGTTTTGGTAGCTTTCTTTCGTCTCGCTGAACTTGAAAAAGAAAAGTTTCCGCTGCAGTGGTATGCTATTGACACGGCGTTGAGACGCTCACATGCAAGAGCTATTCAGATGGCTCTAAGAAGACAACAAGCAGAACAACAAGACTATGAAAACGATCCAGATAGAGAGAAACCTCTCGATCTAACTGTGCCGGAATTCACATGGATGCTCGGCCAACAAACACGAGATATTGAATGGTTCTTCGATGGCAGTACATTCCATAGAAGAGGGCCATATACAGTACCAGAAAAACTTACAGATCATGATCTCGGGTTTATGAAAAGTTTACCTTTTAATGTTGTTCGTGTTGCAAGAGGAATAGAAAGAGAAACGCCGACAAAAAGCGTTCAACATCTCATCGATGAACTACGGCAACGAGGTGTACATACACCCCGAGATTTTTTCGTGAAAACGAATTTTCTTGATCTGTTATTTTCCACAAATGTTATCGATGAAACTCTTTTACAAATAGATATTCTTTCAGAATATATTTCTAATTGGGAAGCATTCAAAGCAAACGAACTCGTACCCCCTTCTATTCCTCTCGGAAACGGCTTACCTGATCTGCTACAAACACTGACAAGCAAGAAATCATCGAGAGAGAAATACCCCAAATGCCCAACTATGAAATGTTATGTAGAAGGTGTATGGGAACAGAGATCAGAGCATCCAATAGATAAAGAAGATAAACAAAAAGACCCAAATGAAGAAAAAAAAAAAGAAACATCAAGTGAATCTTTTGCTGAACTTCTCGTAAAAAAAACAACATCTAATGCGTTGAAAGTTGTCGCTATAGGAAATACAGGTCAAGCAAAATACGAGAAAACTCAGGGTTTCTTCGGCCGTATAAAATCTGCATTGAAGTTGAATGAATTCCAAGAAACTGTCAATGCTATGAAGCTCTGGCACGAACAAGAAAGCGTAGATATCGCTCTCGGTTTAGGAGATTTCCTCCAGCCCCCAGGCATGCTCTCGGTTAAGGATCCGGGATTGAAGGAGAAGTGGCACGATATATTCATTAAGGTATTTCTCTCTATACACAATACAGATACGCTGCTGGTGCTGCTGGCTGCTGCTGCTGCTGCTGCTGTTGCTGCTGCTGTTGCTGTTGCAGCAGCTTACATATTGGTTTGTTCTCACGTCAGAATCAGTTTTCCTGAAGACTAGGAGTTGTGAATGTGTTCATGTTGGTTTATAAGAGTTCTGTGTTTGTGCGTTGTATTCTATGTTTCTGTATTCTATGTTTCTGTATTCTATGTTTCTTTATTCTATGTTTCTGTATTTTCTATGTTTCTGTATTCTATGTTTCTATATTTTCTATATGTTTTCTTCACAGGACGCTGGCTTGAATATCCCGTGGTATATGGTGAACGGCGAAGCGGAGAGTATGGTGAGCAGCTCGACGCCGTACCGCTACCACTACACCCGCCAGGACGTGAACTACCACAACCCCAACTGGCTGTATAAAGCAGTTATAACGATGGTTGCCAATCTAACCACAGCTGATGGAGGCACAGAAGATCAAGAGTTCACCGTACACCTCATCTCCATAGACACCTGGGCTCTCTTCGGAGGACCCCCCTTCTGTGAGTTTCTCAACTCGTCCATGCAGCAGTATATATACTCTCACCCGCAGCTGGCACTTTCTAGATTCAGGTGTACGTACACCCCAGGGGTAGAAAATCCCGGAAATTTCGCGGGCGTATGTAGACCCATACACACCTCGGTTAGCGTACACCACTGGGCATCCAAGGGAGCTGTTTCTATATATATATATATATATATATATATATATATATATATATATATATATATATATATATATATATATATATTTCGCTTGGTGTATGTGTTATGCGTGTGTGTGTGTGAACAGATGAAAACCTGGGGCAGTATCAGAACAACATGATAGCGCTAAGCAACGCGCTGTATCACTCAGCGAAGGCGAAGGCGGACTGGATAGTGGTGCAGGGTCACCACCCTCTTACATCTACAGGAGCTGAAGCAGAAGAGGCTCGGTTTACCTACATAGACGACATGGTGAAGGCTGGGCGTCCGCGGGGCCCTGAACACCGTCTCGTGGATCTGTTGACGGCGTATCAGGTGGATGCGTATATTTCAGCTCACGATGATGCTCTTGAATACGTAACAATGTCGGACCTAGATAAGAACAGCACTCTCGCTTTCATCACCAGCGGGGGGGGAACCCGCATCATGAGCGGCGTTATGGGGAGAGGCTGGCTGGGGAAAATAAGAGGAAGAATATTCCCGTTGCTATGCTGGTCAGGCAAACGTATTTTTTATAAACTCGACCCAGGAGGCTGTAAG